CACTGGGCCAATTGCGATCAGAATAACTAACTAGAAAAGCAAAACTGAAAAATGGTTATAAGCAGCCCCAGTGGCAGCTTGAGCTCAGGAAATGCTTCTTTACAACCAGACTTTTTTTTTCCATGCTTGGTTTTCTCAGAAACACAGCTGATGTCACCAAATAAATGCTATTAAAACTTACTGACGTCAATGAAAGCAAGTTCAGGTTTACAAAGGCCAGGTACAGTCACTTCAGCTCAGAGCTGATCATGGGAGATGCCTTGAATCGCCTGAAGTTATCTAGTGAGGTACTCAGCTCTTTGCTCAATCATGCTCTTTATTTCAAGGCAGCATTCTTTGCTTGATCAATAGAGCTTGGAGTGCTGGAGCTTTAAATGCTACAGGGGCTTTTCTGATCTGAAGGGTAAATTCCACTCACTAACACTGAGTTTCTGTTAAACTCCCACCCCCAAAATCAGACTCTACCCTCCTGTAGGACAGATGAAGTTTTTAGGGTCCAGGGCTATGAATGTATATTACCAAATCCTATTTTTCATCATGATGCAGGTTTTAAGTATCTAGGATAGTCATAAAGCTTTCTATTCTATTCTATTCTATTCTATTCTATTCTCATCACTGTAGTATCTGGGCAATTTCCAGTCGTGCATGAAGCAATGTGATTAAGACTGTGCTTTGGTCTTTCTTTGACTGGGATTTTCAACAATAAAGGACCCACTGTCATGGACTTTTTGTGTGCAACAGTCACCTACCTTTGGCCCTTTTGAAAATCCCAGCCTCGGTCATATGTTTAGTGTTATCTAATTTAATTCATTCCTGTGTTCGTTACCTGCCTGGCCAATGGTTTGGTGGTATGCGTACAAAGATTGCAACATTACAAATGGCCAGCCAGTAGGATTATCTATAGCTGCTCAACTGCTCCCCTGTTTGCCCTCCCCAATGACAGGCAACCTCTACCTTCTGACATCAAAGTCAGCCTAAGCCGATGTTCTTGAGACCTAGACATTAGGATCTCTTTTCTTACACTTTTATAGCAAATTTTATCTGAAAATCTTAACTAGTTTTACACACAGGCCACAGTTTGTTCTCATTTACATGGTGTAAATGAGTAACTCTACTGATCCCAGTGGCGTTACTCCAGATTTACTACTGATGTGCTTTGACAGCAGAAGTTGGCCCTATCATTAACAAGGCTTCGTAAGAACCCTGTGAGGTTGATAAGTATTATTCCAGTTTAACAGAAGGAGAAATTGAGGCATAGAAAGGTGTAAGTGACTTGCATTTGGCTGTATATCTTGGGCCAAATTCTTTGCTGGTATAAAATGACACAGCTCATTAAAGCCCATTTACACCTGGAGAATTTGGCCCTGTAGTGTCAGATCCAGGTACAGAACCCATGAATCCTGACTTCTGTTCTCCTGTTTTAGCCACTAGACAACACACTCTCCGCATCTGGATTACAGGTCACAGATTTTACTTATGCCCTGTGTAATTCTATGTGACTTAGTCAATGGGGCTTTCATGTACTATGTGAAAGTAGCATTCATCCATCTGGAGGAAATGATTAGTTGTGCACTGAAATATATTTCCTGGACCGTGTGCTCTAGTTTATAACACCTAGTTTATAGCCAAAACAGTCAGGGAAACTATGGAGCGGGGGCGGAGGGGGGGAAACACAAGAGATGCAAGATCTTTCTGTCTTAATCACAAAGTAATGGTTATTATTACTATTTATTGTTTGTGCTACCATAGTGCAAGGGAGACCCAGTCACGGAGCAAGGTCCCACTGTGCTAGGGATTATACAAATACAGAACAAAAGACATTCCCTTCCCCAAGAGTTTACAATCCCAGTATAATACAAGAGGCAACAAATAGCTATATTTAGAGGGGATGAGTGCAGGGAAACAATGAGACAGAATTGGCAGTCAGCACACCAGCAGCTGAACTGTGTCAAGGTTTTTTGTTGGCATCACAGCAAAGGGGAGATTTGAAGGTGGCTAAATGAGGTAGCTTTGTAGATGTTAACGGAGAGCAATGCCCAAGCGTGAGGGGCAGTGTGGGAGAAAGCCTGAAGGTGCTTGTTTGAAAATTGAAACAGTGGGCAGTGGAGGGTGGTAGCATAGGTAGACTGGAGGCAAGCATTGACAGTGAAGGAGAGATGATAGGTAGGATGGAGCAAGGTTGTGAAGGGCTTTGGAAGTGAAGAAAAGTACCTTTTATTTGACACGCTAGAGAAGAGGGAGCCAGTCGAGTGATTCAAAGAGAAGTGTGACATGCTCAAAGCAACGGGCTAGGAAAATGGTCTTTGCAGCAGCATTCTGAATGGATAGGAGCGGGGTAAGATTACATTGGAGAAGGCTGTTGCAGTAATCAATAAAAGAAGGAGAATTGGGGGACAGGTGAGCAAGAGGGTAAGAGCTGACAGGATCGTTGGTTAAGAAGGGAGGAGGTCTGGCTTACAAACATCTGCATCCACACTGTGGTAGAATGTGAAATTCACTCCCTTTTGTATTGACAGAATTCAGCTATGCTGCACTATTTTTGCCCAGTAGGGGGACCTGTTCTCCTGCTTTTGAGCAACGGTAAAGCAGCTACAGAAGTACAGTGCCCTACTCACTGCAGTCTATGGTTCACACGCAGTATGCATGAGATCACCTCTCCATTGCATAATTTGAGTCGCTCAGCTTCACGCTTGCAAATCAGCCATTTCTTATTGCCTCATCATCAGAGAAAAGGATGTGGGGGAAATGCATTTGTGCGTAATGGAAATAAAACCTCCGAGATGGTATATAAAAGGGTCAATTGTTTCATAACATTTAGGGAGTTTGCAAGAGTTCCTGAACCACTAAAAAAATTTAAAGTCCTCTTTATACAGTCCTTCTGTCCTCTGTCTACAGCTTGATTATGCTGATAGGGCAGTGATTTAGGGCATGACAATGAGCAAATAGTAGTTCCAGGCTCAAGGATGGCAACGGAGTCTGAAGAGCTAATGGAAAACATCTCAAGCATCTTTTGTTGGGTTTTACTGGCTTTCCCCATACCCCATTCCTCCCCAGCTTCAGTTCCTGGATTGACCGAAGGTGCTTGCATTGTGCGTACCAATTCCTCTTTCACTATTGTTATGCAGGAAGAAACGTATACAAAAATCAAATTGTCTTGTATGAAGTAACCTGTGGCCTTCAGGTCTAGAGGGTCATCAAACTCCCATGAACATCTTAACATTTCTCTAATTATAAAGAAATAGGGTAAAATTGTCAAAAGTGCCCGTGTGAGCCTAAATCCCCTTTTCAAAAGCAAGGCTTTGTCTACCCTAGAAAGCTGTACCGCTTTAACTACATTGGTCTGGTTAAAGCAATGAAACTCGCTAGGGTGGTTAAACGTGCTTATACTCTTATAACTTATCCCCATACGGGATGGGGAAGAAGGGGTACCAGTGTATGTCACCTTTAGACCAGCGTAACTGGGTCCGAAGGCTTGCACCAGTATAATGATATCAGTAAAAAAATAATACCCCTAAATGAGATAGGTTTCAGAGTAGCAGCCATGTTAGTCTGTATCCGTAAAAAGAAAAGGAGGACTTGTGGCACCTTAGAGACTAACCAATTTATTAGAGCATAAGCTTTCGTGAGTATGCATCCGATGAAGTGAGCTGTAGCACACGAAAGCTTATGCTCTAATAAATTGGTTAGTCTCTAAGGTGCCACAAGTCCTCCTTTTCTTTTTACTAAATGAGATAGTTATACTGATACGAAATCTGTGTGTGGTCAGGTGTTATTTAGAAAGTTAATAAGGCTTAGGCTATGTCTACACTTGCAGAGTTTTTGCGCTGTCAGTTTCACCGGTGATGGGGAACAGGTGAAAAAAAAGCACTGGTTTGTGTTCTCACTGACTTCCACCGGCGTCAGATCGTGTTCACATTTGCAGCACTTCCTTTGCTGATGAGAGCAGCGCTCTAGGGCAGCTATCTCTCCATTTTGAGGGTAGGTCTTGTCTTGTGGGAAGTGTGGGGTGATGGCGGGGCATCCTGGGTCCCTGCACAGCCGCCTGTCCCCAAACAGCTCCAGTAACTCAGCATTCCTCCAAGCAGGGGATCCTTTGCTCCATGGAGCAGCCATTGTCACCTGGCCAGAGGATAAGTGAGCACTTGCCAAGACAACAGGAAGGGGAGTTTCAAAGTTCCGGGGCTTTACACGGGGAGGGGCGGACGTCTGTTTACCTGGCCTCAGAGCAGCAAAGCTGCTGGTCAGAGTGGTCACCTAGGCACTGTGGGATATTCTGTGGAGGCTAAAAGCACTGTAAACAGGAAAAACGGGTCTTCACATGCCCGTCAGTGCAAAAACATCATCGGTAAGAGCTGTACGCCTCTCATGGAGGTGGTTTTCTTTTTGCGGTGAAACTTCTGACTTCACTGCAAAAAGTCACTGGCAAGTATAGATGCTCCCACAGTTTTTGCGCACAAAAAGGGACTTTTTGCGCTTTAAATGGCAAGTGCAGACATGCCCATAGACACCAAAATCTCTTCTGAAAATGGTACTTCGGCTAAGTCATTTGCAGTACAATAGGGACAATTATTGCAAAATGTATTAATATAGGGACAATTATGTTTCCAGAACATTGATTTATTAACTCCCAGCAAATTAATTTCTGGGATAATATTTGGTTTATTTTCAAGTTCTTTCTCTGTTGTCTTTTATTGGCATCCTCAGCTGACAAGTATTCCATCTGGGTGTCAGCAGAATGAATTTAAAGCAATACCGAGCTAAAGTCTTCCCTGACTTCAGTAAAGTTAAACCAGGAATGAATTTTCTCCATTCATTAAAAAATGAAATGAAGCTAGAATAGGATTATGCTGCGTTGAGAACCATGGGACTTAGTCTTTTTACTTGGGATGGGGAACGGTTCATGATGGTGTGGGTTGGAGAATCACTGCAAAAGAATACTGGTAGCAAACCCTCTAATGGAAATGAAACTGCAATGGTTATTTATCTTTTGTTTCCTCCAGGGAATGATTTAGATGTTTTAACAACCCTACAGAATGCTTCATTTAAGAAAGCGGCGGCATACATGACAGGTCAGTGAATGAGTCCAGCTAATTCAAGTTTATGGGAGCCTATATCTCAAACTGGCTGAAGATTTTCCATAAAAAAAATTTTGCTGGAAAATGGCCTTTTGACTAAGTGGATATTTTCATGAAAATAGTACTGGTTTTGTGGGGAAAATTATTTATTTTTTTTAAGTTTTCAGCAACCAAATATTTTGTTTTTAAATGATGAAAACAAAAATTGAATGAACGAATGTCTTTGTGCCCACTATTTCCCACCACATGTTCCTGACAACATTTTGACTACATCTGCTTGTGTTTAAGTTGGGAGGAGAGGTTTAAGTTGGGAAGAGAGGTGTTCAAAATTCTCAGCCTAAAGCCTAGTGGGCCTAGGACAGTGGTTGTTGTCTCCTATAGGAGAATGACAGAATACATGGCTACCATTTACCAGCAAATAAGTCCAGCAAGCTCTCATTTGTGTGTTTAAATAGAATATACACCGTATTGGTATATTGTATTAGCTCATTCTCCTTTTCTTTCTAGTGTCAAAGCCAATAAATAGTCCAAAACTGAAGTGGACTAAAAATCGTATTCTCCAAGACATCACGTACAACAGCAACGGAGACCCGGTGATCCAGACGCCAGGCTTGTACTTGGTCTACTGCAACTTGCACTTTCATCTAACCAACTTCTCAAGAAACACAATCGACCTACAGGTGGAGCTTCTTGTGAATAACGCCACCAACAGGCAAACGTTACTCACACACTGTCCCACCACCAACAGGCAAACAGTATTCAAGCAGTGTGCATCAGTTGCAGACTCTAACAGGATATTTCAGGAGCTCTCCATACTCCATCTGGTGAACCTAGATGCAAATGACTGGATATCAGTAGAAACTAAGCAGTACAAATATTTGGATTTAGATTTCTTTCCCAATGACAATGTTCTTGCAGTCCTCAGGTACAGTGATAAAAGTAAGGAGTGCACTGACTGCTCCCTGTAGCTCAAAGTAACCTACCTTCAATGACAATGCCTCTGCTGGACAATACCTGGTCTTAGTTGACATACATTACCTCATCCTAAGGGGAAATAAGGAACTTTCCAAGCGTCCAAAAGAGAAATCTAAAACACAATAAAACATTCACCCAACAAACATAGGAAAACACTCTGCTTTGGCCGAAAGTGGGATTGCCTGTGATGCCAGAAGACTGTCCGTCAGGAACGAGGCCAGCAAGTGACTCGCAGTCATGACAATGGTGCCTCAAAACAAAAACAACCAAATTAGGAGAAGAACTTTCCATGCTGAAAATGATCAGATATCTGATATCTTCCACTTACAGAAGCAGCTGGGCAAGCATAACTAGTCTGGGGGGAATGGAACCTCTTGTCATCTGAGGATTTTGGAATTATACACGATAGTACTTTGAGCTAGTTTTTTCCAAAAACTAGCAGTCAAAGCTGATTACTGATGCTTTCTTTACAACTAGAGCAAGCAGCTGTAAATCTGTGAGATAGCCTGTGGGCAGCATCGTTGAAAGCAGAGGTGGGAAGAAGTTAGGTCATGAGAGGCAATGTGGCCCAGCAGTTAGGGCACTGGACTGAGACTTGGGTTCTGTTCCCTATTCTGCTACTGACCTGCAGGGTGGCTTTGCACAAGGTGTTTCACCATTGGTCCATCTTTCGTATTTAAATTGTAAGCTCTCTGGGGCAGGGACTATGTATTTGTACAGTGCCCAGCACAATGGGATGCTGATCTCAATTGGGACCTCTAGGTACATGCATAATACAAATATTAAAAGTAAAAATAATAATCTAGTCCATATGCCATGTAACAGGCTTGTCCCTTACAGTATATGTTGAAGTGCTTTGTGAAGTCAAGTTTTAAATGTAATCTGAATGTCACCACAGCATACATGCATATAAACATTTGCTTTTAGGGGGCTCAGAGGAGGAAGGAATGGCCCACACTGCACTAAACACCTGCCATTTTGTGACATTTTAGATTGAGCTCTGGATTTGAGCACCCATATTTGGGAATGTTTGCATCTGGAGTTTTGATATGGGCCACCATCGAGATCTGGCATTTGGATCAGGGCTGCACTGTGCTTTTGGTTTGACCTTGCATCTGTTACTTCTGAGTGTAGAGGATGGAGGATGTGACAGGAGAGGACCATACTCTAAAGTTATGAAGTTATTTATCTATAGTACAGTAAATCAGAGTTTTACGTGAAATTCCAGCTTCACAATCATGTTTAATTAAAATGTAATTCCTGTACTACTGGTGACCGCAGAAAATGTAAAATTAAGAAAGCAAGCACTAGATCATACTCTCTTTTCACCATCAAAAGCCTACTGATATAAAGATTTTTCATGAGTACCTATATTTTGTTTTAGCCACATGACTGGAGCTGGGTGAACTGTTCACAGTGGAGTTTTTCACTGGATTTAGCTCCCTTGTGTCTTTGTGAATTTCCCCTAAACAGACTACAGTTTTTACTATGGGTTTTGTCATTCAGGTTTTTCTGATTAATGGCTTGTGTGAGCACATTCAGAATATCTGTAATATTAATAATTCATTATTTGTGCCATGTGACTGGTCACCCAAGTCACATGGTATGGTTTCTGCTCCCTGGTCAGATGATTTCAAAATGCACAAAGAGCTTTCAAAACACATCCACTTCATCTGTGCAAATACATAGTCACACAAAAATGTGGGGGGGTGGGGGGAACATAATTACATAAGTCATAGATTCCAAGGGCAGAAGGGACCAGTGTGGTGATCTAGTCTTGCAGGCTATAGAACTCCTCCAAAATAATTTCTGTTTGAACTAGAGTATATCTTTTAGATCAGAGGTTCTCAAACTGTGGTCCGTGGACCACCAGTGGTCCGCGAGCTCCATTCAGATGGTCCGTCGATAGTTCCCTCTAAAGTGCATGCCTGGGCGGCCACACATGAGAGAATAAAGGGCCACCCACCCAATTAGTGGAGATGTGCAGGCGTCTCCACTAATTAGGAGCCTGGACCCTGGAGAAGACGTACATGTAAGGTGAAGTGATGGCCTTGGGGGGATTAGGGGGTAGGTGGGGGGGCAGTGGGGTGAGAAGAGGGGGTGGGAGGAATTTGGGATGTGCAAGGCTGTGGTGGCCAGAGAAAGAGGCAAATTTCCCCAGAGCCAGGGCTGTAGCAGCCGGGGAGAGACGGCCCTCCTTCCCAGCCCCAGCTCGGGGGGCTACTGCACTGGGAAAGAAAGGGAGAGACCCCCGCCACCCTTCACAGTCCCAGCTCGGGGGCTGCTGCAGAGGGGAAGAGAGGGCACATCCATTGCATTAGAAAGGTAAGACTATTGGTATTAAAATATGAGTTGTGTGCTTTTATTTGTAGAACAAAAAAAAAACATTAATTATTATTAAGGGTTTTTTTTCTACAAAGTGCTTTACAGTAGTTAGCTAACAGTACAAACAACATTTGTAAAGATCATTAAGTGGTCCCCTGAGACCCTCAGCAATTTTCAACTGGTCCGCAGAAAAAAAAAGTTTGAGAACCACTGTTTTAGATCATTCTGTTTTGGTGACCATGCATGTGAAAAATATTTCACACACATACACACACTTGCAAAAAATGAGTGAAAGGGACCACAGATACTGTGGAAACAAAACCATGTTTTTTATTTAAAGGCATATATTTTTTGCAGCATTCACCTAGCTCTACCCATTCAGACCCTTGGTAGAATCAAATCATCCCTCTGCTCTTAAAAATCTATACTGGTCTCTGAATGGCTTTCTATCCAGCATCAGCCTGCACTTGTGTGTCATATGAGTAGAACCCAACAAAGGTTAAAGAGGCTCGTCCCTCTTAGGAACCTTTAACAAGAGTTGATATCTCAGCCAATGTGAATTCAGGAGCAGCACCGACACCAAAAAAGGCTTTGAATTTGAAGGGGAAAATAGCTCTTTTTTTAAAAAAAAAAAAAATCCCCCTGCATAGGACGATATGTCACTATTCTTTCAGCAAGTGGAGGAAATAATGGAAGAGTGGAACTAGACCGATCAGTCCCTGGCTTTGCACGATGGCAGGATAGAACAATCTTGCCCTTACCATGCCACATCCAAGAAATAAGCATAAATTATAGCCAGAAAGTCAGACCATCAGCTAAATGTGTGTCAAACGGCTTTCATTAAAACAAAGCCCCGGGCCAGGCATCAGACTCCACACTTCATTGCCGATTCCAAACCACTTTACTATTTCATCTTCTGCCCCGCCCCCTCTCTTCTCCTTGTTTTTGGCCATGTTTATAGAATAAGAAAACCCATTTCAGTTCTTTGAACTACATCATGCCTTTTCAGCAAGGTCCGTGGCAACAGCCTTTGGAGGACAAATAATTCCACAGGCCTAGACTTCACGGGTTGCCGAAGACCAAATTCTCAACGAAGGCCACTTTTCAGAAGGTGGTTGTTCTCCTGTATTAATTAGGTTGGTCTTAGTCCCAGGACACACTGGTTATGTAAAGTTCCTTCAGTAAGGGTGGAAGCCCAACCCTGCAGTCCTTACTTAAGCAAGACTCCCAAAGACCTCTAGAGCTCTTTGGAATCAGGAGATTTTCCTCTTTTGCTCTTCTCATTGTCTCTCAAATCCACAAGTTCTGGATGTACCTTCTCTGAGGTTCCCTCAAAAGACAGAACAATCTTGGACGATTGAAAGAGCCTATGTCACATAGACGCTTTTGACTATCCCTCCCCATGTCCTCAGATGTGGCAGTCCTGTGGCTTTCTGTGCGTACTCTCTGTTCCTAACTTGACCAGAAATGGGAAGCAGCAGAAACCTCACACAGCAGTCTGTTCTTTCTGGGTTTCTGGTCCTTGTTCAGAAACCAAAGAATCTAAGTCCTCTGAATCTTTTTATGCTTTCTTGACCTGAGTCTACAGGTGCTGGAAGATTTGTCTGTCACTGATAAATATAGGCAAGATTTTCAAAAATGCTCAGCATTGGTCTAACTCTGCTCCTGTTGCTTTACCATTGACTTCAATAGGAGCAGAGTTGAGTGCTTTTAATAATCCCACCCTCTGATAATTAAAAATCAGAGGGATGAGCTGGAGTCATCGATTTCAGAGGTGGACCTGAACTTCCCCAAAGGAGGAAGGCTTGGGAGCCAGGCTTTTGACTCACACCATTATAAAGCTTGAGGTCACCTGCAAAGTTCTGATCTTGATCCAAACTTTCCCAAAATTCAGAGGTGGCCAGGTCTGAGGGATTTAGTTGTGTTCTAACTATTACATATTCTTAACCTAGGCAATGGGTGGTTTCATCAGGTGTCTTGAAGTTTCCTTCTCCATTTATGTCCATTCTTCAGATCTTCCTGGCCAGGGATCTGGGGGCAAGATTCCACACAATCTGGGTGAAATTCTTCACTCTGCTGAGGGCTGGCATGGGTATATGCACCACATCGATCCCACTAACGCCATATTGTGAGAATCCAAGTTGAACATAAATGTTGCATAGGCCTTGTTTTGGTCCTCCACAACGGGGCTCCTATAGAGGGAACAATAATAAAGATACAACTTCCACCAAACTGACTGAACTAAGCCGTTAGAATAAGGCTACGTTTACACTACAGCTTATGCTGGCCTAATTTATGTCGCTCAGGAATGTGAATATTCCACCCCCATGAGTGACATAAATTAGGCCAGCATAAGCGCTTATGTGCACACCGCAATATCAGCAGGAGAGCATCTCCCACTAACATAGTTTCTGCGGCTCGCGGGTATTTTTATGCTGCCAGGAGAGCTCTCTCCCATCAACATAGAGCATCTTCACCATACACACTGCAGCACTGTAAGTGTAGACATGCCTGAGGCTGTACAGTAAAACTTGGAGTAAAATTTTCATAGGAGCTTGAGTAATTTAGGCCCAGATCCTCAATGGCATTTGGGTGCCTAACTCCCATTGAAATCAATGGAGTTTTTGAGAAGCTAGGCCAAATCCAATTTTCCAACATATCTGAAGAAGTTAGGAGCCTAAGGGCCTGTTTACATGAGCGTAATGCACACTACAGGATGTGATTTCTAAAGTGCATTAATTGGTCCACGTAGGCCCTGCTGATGTGCAAAAATGGTTTGAGACAGCACAGTGTTAAAGCACCCTAGGGAAACTTTAGTGTGCACCAGCCTGGTCTACACGGACCAATTAATGTGCAACACATTAGTGAGCTTTAGACATCACACCCCCATAGTGCACATTGGCACACCGTGTAGACACGCTCTAAGGTTAATATAAAGTCAGTGGGACTTGGATGCTTTTGGAAAATATTACTTTTAGAGACCCCCCCCCCAAAGAAATGTCATGCAGAAATGTCCAGGGCTAATTTTTCAGATGCAATTGATGATTTTGAGGGCCCAACTTGACACCTCCTTGAGGGTCCTGCTTTTCAGAGGATAGGAGTTTATCACTTTCTGAAATTCAGGTCTCTTTAAGGTGCTTTAATCTGGGTGTCTTCAAAACACCTGGCACCACTGGTTAATTTTGAAAATGTATTATTATTTTGCCTAGGAGCGCTAGTCATGGACCAGACTCCCATTGTGCTAGGCACTGTGCAAATACAAATGTAGGCCCTGTTCTTTGCTGGGACACTACTAAATTAAGACCTGATCCTTCGAATGCTTAAGAGTGGAAGCAACTTTTGACTCCAAGAGGATTACTCATGAGCATCTCATTTATGTGAGGA